TGAATGCCAGATTGGAAGAGCATACTTCGAAATGGTTGATTACCTAGAAGCAGATCATGCATTTGGCCTTGCTCGTCTGGCCTCACCTTATAGTTTAGAAGGAATGGACGTGTACTCGACAGTGTTGTTTGTGAGTCTTCTTTGCTCTTTTAGTGTTTCAATGAGAACATGTATGCTTTGCTGTGTGGAAGTATTAACTGCCTTTAATTTTACCATCTCTGGGGTGGTGATGCCGGACAGGTTTGAAGAAACTTTATTTGATCCTTGTTACGTCGACATTACCGTTATTTGCTTATATTCTATGATCATTATTACTATTATTTAATAACAATAGTTTTTTTGTTCTGGTGTTTTTTGTTGCTTCCGGGTACTGTTCACTAATTAAAATTATGTCTTAAAAGCATATTTTTGGTAGTTAGGAAACTGGTTATATATGGTTATCCTACTAGTTCTTATGTCCCAAAAGGGTCCCAATCTTTATGTTCTCTCTGCCTTTTTTTCTTTCCTGACAAACTATTTGATTTTAATTGTAGCATCTCAAGGAGGACATGAAGTTGAGCTATCTGGCGCAGGTGCTGGTATCAACTGATAGATTAGCTCCTCAATCTTGGTAATTCCTGCAAAATCCGAAGATAACATTGTCTGATATAGATATTTCTGGTGCTGTTTATTCCTTTTGTCCAGAGATGTGTGGTTATTTGGGCTTATTTGTAACATCTTATCAAGTATTAATTTATTTTACTCATGAATGGCTGAGTATCATTGATCATCAGTCCTTCGCCATGTTTGCTGTTTTTTACCCTTGATCAAGTTGTTGACAATGTGACTCCTTGTGTTTCTGATTATTCTTAACCTGGTAGACACATTATGTTGCTTTTAACAATTGGAATTACATCCTTCTGTCTAAAAATTCTGACTTCTGTGTTTGCACTCAAGGTGTAGATAAATAATCGAGAAGTTTACCCAATGGCTGACTTGTTCATTTAAAAAATAAAATTTTATGTAAGGATTGTTAAAAACTGCTATTCTTTGCTACTTGTACTAGTAGAGAAAATGCCTCAATAAAGTGGAACATGAAGGGCGACCTTTTCATTCTAGCCTGGAATGTAATCTCCACAGTGCATGTTGAAATATAATGTTGACATCACTATGAGACTATCATCTGCTAAATTACATGCATCCACACATTTAAAGTTGGATATAAGTTCTGTTTGTGGAGCTCTTGTGCCAAGTAAGGCTTTGATCTTTCAAGGCGCCAAACAGTGTTTCTTGCTGTTGCAAATAGTAGTTGGAGCTAAACAGGAAAACCAGTATCATCTGTTCTCTTCATTATGACCTAGTTTTAATACTTTATCAATGGTATAACAGGTGTGCTATGGGGAATTGCTATAGTTTACAGAAAGACCATGAAACTGCTCTTAAAAATTTTCAACGAGCTGTACAACTAAATCCTAGATTTGCATACGGGCACACGCTTTGTGGTCATGAGTACGTCCCATTCCTCCCCTTTCTCAATCATTCCTTTATTGGTCAAACGTGAGCGTGGAATATCTTTTCTTTTAATTGTAGAGAGGTGTATTGTTAGTTTCTTTATAAGCTTGCCTCACTGTCTATTTTTCCAGATATGTTGCTTTAGAAGATTTTGAAAATGCTATTAAGTGCTATCAGAGTGCACTTCGTGTGGATGCCAGGCATTACAATGCCTGGTATGGGCTTGGAATGATCTATCTCCGACAGGAGAAGTTTGAATTTTCAGAGCATCACTTTCGAATGGCTTTGGGTATAAATCCACAGTCTTCTGTTATCATGTCATATCTTGGCACTGCATTACACGCTCTGAAGGTGTAGTAGTTTCCTTTTCTGATTTTTATGCTGAAACATGATGTTGTCCTTAATTTAGACTCTAATCTGCATCTTATGGATGGTCAGAAAAATGAAGAGGCATTGGAAGTGATGGAGCTGGCTATTGTAGCAGACAAGAAAAACCCTCTTCCAATGTATCAGAAGGCTAACATCCTTGTGAGCACGGAAAGTTTTGATGCCGCTTTAGAAGTCTTAGAGGAACTTAAAGAGCATGCTCCTCGTGAGAGCAGTGTCTATGCTTTGATGGGTCGGATATACAAGAGGCGTAATATGTACGACAAAGCCATGCTTCATTTTGGAGTGGCATTAGATTTAAAACCATCTGCAACTGATGTTGCTACCATTAAGGTAATTGCCCATTTGCACATAATTGCCCACAGATGCACATAATGTGTGTGTGTATACTGGTAATTTTTTTCAGCAAGTCGAGCATTATGGTTTCTTTTCTTCTGTCGGCCTTTTACTTATTCTATCATAGTTCTATTTCTAACTTGATACCAGAAAGAAAATAGTTTCAGACATCTACTGAAATCACCTTCGATGTTGTCCTCTAGTGCTGGAAACTTTGTAATATCTTGCCTACTTTTTTCCTGGTCTTATTCTTTCGTTCTTTACCCCTTTGTTTCTGAATTGTACTAATGCTTGTCTACTGAAGAGATATTTTATCACAAGACTGATTCAAATTATATAAGCTGACCTTTGTCCTTCCCACTGTATCCGCATTTTCTATCAGGCTGCCATTGAAAAGCTGCATGTACCAGATGAGATGGAAGATGAATTATAACATATCTGAATGAACTGGAAACATGAGAAGATCAGGCTGTAAATTATCCAGCTCAAAATATACAACTACTTGAAGTTCTTGCATCCTTTTCCTTTCGAGAAAGCTCCATGTACAAACAAGTCACTGAGAAAACATGTTCTTTTCATGAAAATCTTTTGCAGCTCCAAAAGACAGGTGTATTTTGTGAATTTGTAATGAGTAGTTTTCTGTTGGTTTGTGAGTGTGTTTAGTATTTATTAAGGTGCTAACCCAAGGCAATATTGCTCATTAGGCACATAGCAAAAAAGAGAGCTATTTATTTTACTAATATAAAACTCTATCTTTTTCTCAAAAAATGATGAACAATCAAACTCACCTTTTGGTATGGCTTCCAGTTTTTCATTTATTCAAGTTGTTTATTAGTAGTATTATTTTTAATTAATACAAACTTACGTTGAAAGCTGCATTTATTTTTTTACATTTTCTTACTAAAAGAATGTTAGTGCTAAAAAATATTCTTGCAGGGAAATTTCAGACTTCCATGGTTCTACTTTTGTGAAGTCCAAGTTTATTCCAAGTCTGTCCGGTAATTTTCTACAAAAAGAAAATAAAATTAATTAGTAGCCAAATTTTCTTGATTCACACACATGAAAATGGATGTTGTTTTAAGTAGCTAGACAATAAAAATCTGTCAAGGTTTTATCAAAAGATCATGTTATGCTACGAGCGATTGATTTTGTAGCTAAATCATTTTTTTAATATATGTTTTCAAAGTTTTTTATGTCTTTATTTTACGTTTTACAAACCAAATCTTTTGTGCTTTGATGTGCACAACAGCACAAGTACTTCTCGAGCTTTAATTAGTGTTATTTGATCTCTCTCTCTTTTCTCATCTTTTCAATTTTGTAGCTGAAGCAAACTTGTTACAATTCAGTGAATCTTTTTGTTTTGGTATATAGAATTTTAAGGGTGTGTTAGATACAAATGAAAATATTTTTCAATTTTTCGTTACTCAAATTTTTTGATAAACATTTTCTTTTTTAGAAAAACAATTTTTTTTTAAGATAAAAAAAATAACTTCTCTACTAATAAAACAAATCTTCATAACTGACGTATATCATCCTTTTCCTACCTGCCATTCCGTCTCCACCATCCCACCCCCATAGCTCTCATCCCCACCACCCTACACGTTACCTTCACCCTTAAGCACCCCCCGCCCCACCCCTGTAGCTTTCCATCTCCATTACCCCACACCTTACCTTCCACCCTCTACACTCATAGGGTTTCGTGTACCAAACACAAGATCCATATTAAGAAAACCAGTGGAAAATATTTTTTTTCGTACCAAACACATCATAAACTCATGTTTTTTTCTTCTTTTGGTTGCATTTTTGTTGTGTTTACCCCTTCTCATGGATTATTTATATGTATGTATAATCATGGTGATAATAAAACTTGTATATATGAATTTTGTGTGACAGATGGTAAGGTTGGACTCTCATACATCTTCATGGAAAATTCAGCTGAGCAAAAGGCAGAAACTATAAAAAGGTTCATTGATACTATAGTGAATGTGGGGAGAAAAGAGATTCTAGATGGGTTTAGGGCACGATCACGTGTCGTAATTGAGAAAGAAGTTACTGCTACTACAAGCTTGACTCATGGCTTTATTAACTATCTGCAGCCTTGTCTTTTGGCTTCCTCCAAACCCTTACCAACTATGAGTTTGACTCCCTTTGCTAAGTGCGTCAATCATGGTCATGCCGCCTACATTTCACTTGAAGATGTTCAAAATTCTGACAACTACACTCGCCTTGTGATTCATTCTCCTAGATACCGAGTTATTCATCGGTAGAAATTTACTGGATCTCTGTCTATTTTAATACTATATATCTCGATCTCTTTCTGATACTCTGAATATATTATATAAATACAAGTACATGGACTGTGAGTTGGAGTTTCAGGAGGATGTTGAAACTCTTCGTAATACTCTTCGTCAAAGAGCAGAACAACAAAATCATGTGCATTTGCTGGGATATAAGGAAAAATATATGCAGCGCGAAATACGGAGATGCAAAATCTGCAAAAGAAGCCTAGAGCATGAAGGAATCTTCTTCCACAGGTAATATATATATACATGCGTATAAATTTATATATTGGATCATAATAATAAATACTATATGTTTGTGGTTGAGCAGAGATACAGAGTTTTACAGCTCCGAATGTAGATCTAATGATGTGGTGCCTTACTTTGAACAGCGGGTGCCGGTGCAAGGAAGAATGATGAGAGGTCGGAAGTGAAAGTGGAGTTTTACATTATATTGGGGATAGCTACTGATCAGCTTATGGACATTCATGTCCTTTTTTTTTTTTTTTTAATGTTAATTCAAGTTATGTAATGTTAGTTAAGAAGAAGAACATCTAGTCTACCTAAAAGGGTCACTGCATGCATGTTTTATTTTTGCAGTTGATCAATATATGTTCTTCTCGTTTATTTCCAATTCCGTTCAGTTTGTATGAAAACTTGATTTGTTATGTCTGTTAAGTACTTTTTAAATTGATTGAATCCTTTCATTGAATGCAACATATAAAGGCCATTGATAGTCAACGGTATTGTGCAGGAGCTAGCAAAGTAATTAATAAACTTTGAATGACGATAAATTAGGGATTTATAACATTCATTACTAGAAATTTGACCTATTGCCACAGATATTTGGCAACACTTGTATAACCGTTGCAATATATTATCTATTGCAACAGTTATGACTGTTGCAATATATCATGGGATCTAATAGAACAATAATTAAAGATAACCGTAGCATCATTCTTAAAATCGTCGCTACAGAGTGCCTAAGGCAACATATTTTACAATCGTCGCACTTAAGGACTCTGTGGCAACGGCTATTTTAGTGAACAAAAATTAATTAGTTTTAGCCAACCTGCGAATTTTATTCCCCAAAAAGTATATTTCCCTCCACTACTTTAGCTAAAGTGTCATTAAGTTCATTAAGGCTGAAATTTCCAGTCTTCTTCCAAAAAGGGTTTCTGAAAAGCGTCGGTCTTCTTCTTCAGCGTAACGATGAGCTGCGGCTAACGGCAACAGTATTCTTCGACAAACTTCGGTCTTCTTCTTCAGAGTGAGGTTCTTCGTCTTCTTCAATCTGGGCATCTTCAGTTCATCTCCAGTGGTCTTATTCTCAATAAGAATCTTCGTCGACTGCAAGCTTTTGCATATAAAGGTGTACTACTTTTAAGTTTCCTTTGTCTACTACATTATTTCTAAGTACCCACTGTCTCTAATTTGTTATGCATATACAATTTTGCATAATCTGAAACTCCATTGAAGGGTTTCTCAAAAGTCTTAAAGAATAACAAATGGGTTTGTCTGAAATTTATGTTATTTTTTCTTATTTAGGTCTGTGATGTAATCTATTTTTGGTTTATAGTTTGTATTTTAAATTTGGTGAAGATTTATGAACTCTGCGAAATTTCTTTAAGAAGTTGGTTTCAATTTTATTAGTCAATACCCAATTGGTAGTTTATTTCGGTCTAATGCTTGTAGTATTATTATTTGCATTTTGAGTGAACTGAAATGTACTATAAACTTATTTCAAAGTTGTTGAAAAACAATTTAAAGTGATTTTCTAGGTCTTTGAATGTGAATTGAAATCCCCTGTTGGATGAAAGTCTAAAGTTGTTATTTTGAACTTCAATTTTTGCTGATGTCTTGCTACAACAACTACGTATGTGAGTTCCATAGTGATTTCTATCATTTTTCTTTTTTGATTTGTCGATATTGTATCCCTATTTCAGATTTGAAAACCCAACACTAGATTTGAGAATTTTCATTATTCTAGTTGTTGTATCTGTAAGCTTAGAAGATGTAATTTTGTAGTCCCTCTTTTGAAAACCACTGGTTGTTACTGTTTCTTTGTTCGATACTAAGCCTGAAGATTTTTCTAGTAATCATGAAATGACTGAATTGTATTTTCCCTTCTCTTTCTATCTTTCTTGTTCTGATTCAGAAATTGGGTAAGTGTTGCTTGTCTATATTTACAATTTTCCTAGTGTGACTAGCTAACTATGCAATATATCTATAGAAAACGCAGCCAAGTTCTTTATATTGTCAGCCAAAATATCATAATTGATTGTAAGTAGAAGGTTTCATTTAACTGATGTCCAATCTAAGTAAATCAATAGGTGAAAACTCAGTTTTGTTGTATTTTTTATGGTGAAATTTGTGGCTAACTTTTCTGAGTTCACCCTTGATACAGATGAGACATTAAATTGCTAGAATTTAGAAATAAGGCACCTAAAACTTCTAAGCAAGAAATTATTGAATCTATTATCGACAATCTGTAGCCCTCTTAGAGCTTCTTATTACTACTATTCTTTCTTTTACTTCTTTCTATATTTATGTAAGAACTAAACTAGTATATATATATATATGTGTGTGTGTGTGTGTGTATGTGTGATGGAAATTTAAAGAGATTTTGCCTTGACTTTGTGAAAGAACTCTTTGTCATTGAAAAATGATTTAAGTAGTTAACTTTCTTGGCCCATAAATGACCTTGTTATAGATCAAGCACAAATGATTCTTCAATAATACAACAAATTCATGTACTAATTTCATTGTTAAGTTTTCCTATTTTGTCAAATTAAAGGTAGATGGAAAAAAACATAGTTGAAATGATGGTTCTTATTGAGATCCTCTAAATTGTCTGTTTAACATTTTATACTTAGGGATATTTTAAGAGTTTGATGCTAACCCTTTGAGTTTCAGATCTGTTTTTTTGTAAAGTGATTAGGAAATACTAACTTTGCACTTGCAAGTCGTCATGATGTATTAATTTTTAGCTTATAGATTTTGATTTACCTTATCCATCTACAGCTGACTCAAGCCATTTGGATGTCCATTAACATGGAAAATTTTGTTGTATAAAGATAGTAGACTGAGTTTTGTAGTTGATGTGAGATCAGTTTATGAAAGAGGAAACTAGAACGAGCTGTTGAGGTTGATGCTGAGCATCAGGAAAGATTATGAACAATCATTGACAAAATAAAGTTAGGTCTGGACAGTAGAAATAACCTTATTTGTTTTAATAAGTCCAAAAAATATTGATTCCCCTGTTGCATTAAATTTTTAGCTTGTGACCAAATATGAATTAGTTAGGAAATGACTGATGAACTGCTCTAATTTTAAGAAAATCAATCAGCATTCTGATTTTTTCAACAAAATACTAAAAAACTTGAATCCATGAATCATTTAACTACATTAAATAGCTACAGCTTAAGTTCCCTGTAGAAAATTCTTTCAATAGGGGTTGTTTTAGTGTTGTGCTATTTAGATGTGATTGGTTTCATAATGAAGTTGATGAATATGGATTGACTCGGGTATACTTCAACAGAAAATGTAGCACAAATGATCCTTTTGTACTAGCATCTCAATTCCATCAAGTTCTTTTTTACGTGGAGGACCCAATTATGAAAAATGGTTATTATGCAAGAAATAAAGTTCATGTTGACTTGTATGATTTGGAGGAAAATAATTGTCCTTATATTGAAGAAACATTTTAGATGGAGACTAATCATGATGACATTGGTTCATCAGAAAGATTACTCGATGTTGTTGTTAGATTGTCAAGAGAAGATCTCCCTGTTGTTATCATTGAAGTGTCTTCCCCTGCACAACATTCTGAAGATGTAACTATGGAAACTTCAGAAGAGGAGGATGACATTGATGATACTAATTGGGATTGGATGAAGGCTCATGATTGACAAAGGATCTTTTTAACTAGTTCAGATATATATTCTTTTTTTTGTAGTGAGTAATAAATTCCCTTTGAGTTGCATCATATAAATTATGAATGTCGATTGTCTCTTCTGCTATTTCTATTAATTTGCTTATTTTATAAGTGTGTTTCTGGATATATACTTCTTTTGAGATTAATACGTTTGTTAAGTCTTTTTTCTCTCTTATTCACTTTTCAGTATTCCTGTTTCTACATTCTCTGAGGAATCTTCAACTTTAGAGTCGACCAACAAGAATCCAGGTTCTAATATCTCTCTTTATTTCTCATATTTTGAAATTTTGCTGATTAATTGGTGTTAAGTACTAGATGCTTGATTTTCTTTAAAGAAGTATTATATGTAGCCGAAGGTTGGCATATCAACTTCTGCTAGTCATCGCTTGCTGAAGTTAGGATGCTTGTTCAGAAAGTGAAAATGATTTCTACCATTCCTCCAACAAATGAACAATCTGAAGAACAAGGTAACATAGAAGCTTAGAAACTTATTGAATTCATCCATGATTTCTAATTTCTTGTTACTTCTTTTAAGTGAGCCATTTTAGATCGAGTATTGTCAGTTGATCTAGAAGTGCTTAATTTGTACAACAAAATTACTCCAAACCTAAGGGACCATTTGATTAAAAAGGATGAATATAAATTAGAGTACTTAAGATGATTTTAGTTTGTCACAATTTTTACAAGTTAAACAATTAAAGGTATATCTACTACATATGTGAATCATGTGATCTCACGAGAGAATTAGGCGGATATATATTGAATTAGATTTTAAAAATTTATTGGACTAAAAATTTTGAATCAAATTTTAAGAATTTATCTTTAAAAATAATAATTCAAATTTTCAAAAACTGGTTCAGATAGTTGATTGGAGAAATTACATTTGATTTTTCCTCACAAAAAATCAAATATTTTTAAAACTAAAATGTATCTTTCAAACACATTAAATATTAAAAACATAACTTTTATATTTCAATTTTTAACTTCACAATATATAATCAAATAGCAACTTTAAATATTAAAAACATACTTAATTTTTATATTTCAATTTTTAACTTCAAATTATATAATCAAAACTACTTATTAAATGTCGACAACGACATTATCATGCATTTGATTATTTAGGCTCATGTCGAAAATGGCTTAGATTCGAAAGAGGAAAAAATGATAAGGTTATGGATAAAGGTGCTCCCACTGTCATTTGGCATATATTCATCAAAATGACACGTGGTCTTCATTACGTGGATTGAATGTAAAAATATGTATGACATTATGCTTTCTAAATTTTAGACCTAATTAGCATATAGCTCTATTATAGTCTAGGAGAAAATATGCACTAAATATTACCATTAAAAATATATATTATTTGACTCTCGAAATTCAAATCACTATATTATTATGCGAGTGATATCATACATCTAGCATCTAATTTATAAAAATTGTAGTGGAGTAATAAGTATCTTTTAGCCATGAAACCTAATAGGGCTGTAAAGTCATGTTTACTAGTGAACATTTTACCCAACCAAAAAAATGCAAAACTATCTAGCCGAAGAAAATCTAAATTTAATTAATTACTGTCAATTAGAGCCGTCAAAATGGGTTTAGCCCATAGGGCCGGCCCAACCCTACCCGTTATTGGGGTAGGGTTGAGATAAGATTTTTCAAGCCCATTTAAAACTAGGGCTTATAAGTTCGACCCATATAAACCCTTGGCCCTTGAGGCTTGATCGGGGCTGGGACGGGGTCGGCCCATGGGCCAAAAAGTTTTATTTAAGAGTAATTTACAATAATCTCACTAATATATAATCTAATTATTTGAATACATGCTATGTTGTAATATTATAAATCTTCGTACCTAGATAGTATCTCGAAATATATGGACTCAAAATTGGGTTAATTTGTTCTAGATACACTCTATCCAAGTAGATTTGCATGTATCTAGGATACATATACAAATCTCGCGCCCTCGGCTCCCTCCTATCTTGCTTGTCACTCTCTTATCTCACTCGCATATCCAGTATGCGAGATACATGCTAATTACACTGGATTTTTGTTAGTATTATTGAAAACAACATCATTGTTTGTCATATTTGATTTGAAAATCTTTTTATTTTTTGATGTTATAGAATTATAAGTTTGAAAAGAAAAAAAAATTAAAAAGAGAAACAGAAGGGCTAGCCCGCCCTAGCCCTTCAAATTCCTTGGCACTCGAGGCTTGGGCCCGGTGGGGCTGGGATGACCCTTTTTGACAGCTCTACTCTCAATATGAATATCGAATACTTGATTGAAACCAATAAAAATCATCACATTTCTCTAATTTTTTTTCTTTAAAAAATAATTAAAATCCATTTGTACCCAAAATCTACCCACTCAATTAATCCCATAGCTCATCTTTATGATGGAAATATATTTGACCTAAATTTTCACATTATTAGTAAATTCGATTCCATCTTATAATCTCTACCCGAATTTTACCTACCCCAAATTGTAAATTTTTATCTGATTATGCATAGTTATAAATCTAAATTTGGAGGGAGTACAAAGAGTTTAAAATACTGAAATCCCCCGAAGTAGAAGGAGTTGGGACAATTAGAAGCAAGGGTAATCTGGTCCTCAGAATTTTTAATTTTAGTACGAACATATAAGAACAATCACTGGCCTCTGAAAATCTGTTTCTTTTATCACTTTTTGTGAGTTGAAATCAAGAGAAATCCACTAACTTAATAATGGCAACTTCTCTCAAATTGAAATTGAAAAATTGAATCTCTCTCTCTCTCTCTCCCGCCTCTCGCTCTCCCTCTCTAACCTCGTCTCTCTTTGAATTCGAGTTCAAGCATCAATGGAAACCCTACTAGCTGAATCTGTGCAAAACAGCCTTGGCCAATTTATGTTCCACAACGCCATTTTCATGTGTGAACGACTCTGTGCCGAGTTCCCCACTGAGGTACTCCACACTTTTTTGTTTTCACTTCATCAGTCTTTGTAAACATATGTATTACTCAATTTGTCGTTTATAGAGATTTTAGGTTCTTGGAGTTCACTTTTTTGTTTCTTGTTGCCCTTAGTGGAATTTGACTCAAGAATGTGAGGGTTTAATGCATTTTTGTTGAAATCTCTTAAGTTGGTCAATTCTCTTGTTTCCTATAATGTACTATGCCCATTGCAGACAAATATGCAGCTTTTAGCTGGCTGCTACCTGCACAACCAACAGGCTTATGCTGCATATCATCTTCTCAAGGGTGCGTGTTGTATTCTCAGTCAATATGACTGCATTTTGTGTTGCAATATCTTTTTTTTTCCTCCCTATTATCTTCCGATTTCTGATAACACTTGTCCTTGAGATTATGCTCATAATCATCCCTTTTTAAATTTTTATATGAAGGGACAAGTATGGCTCAATCCCGCTACTTGTTTGCACTATCATGCTTTCAGATGGATCTTCTCACTGAAGCTGAGACAGCACTTTGCCCTCCTAATGAGCCAACTGCAGAGGTAGAGTCGTAAAAACCATCCTTCCAAATATCTATCCACTTTGCAGATTTTATAGTATTGTCATCTCCAGTTATTTTATTCCTGTTAGCCATTGACATGCTTCTTTAATTTATAGCTAATTGGTTGTTGTGTAGGTTCCAAATGGTGCAGCTGGGCATTACCTTCTTGGTCTTATTTACAGGTTCATATTTTATATATTATTTATTTAAGAGAAGGATTAACTTCTAGCCTTGCTTCTTAATTCTGAAATTGGTTTGATCTATCTGAATAATGAAGCTAATACTTCACTATGACAATGAATTTTGGTTGTGTTCACTATATCATCATCAAATTGTTAGTGCACATGAAAGGTACTTCGTGCTGATAAAAGTCACTATCCTCTACTTGCTATTTTATATGATGGAGGAGAATGTAATGGGATAGTACTGTCATCTATTCCTTTTACTGTAAGTAAAGTAAAGAATAGTATAGACGCTGCATCATTAGATGTTTGAACTATGGCCAACCTTTATTAACTTAAAAACTTGATTCTTCTATTCTAATGTGAAAATTATTCTCGTATTGAAGTGTAGTATGATGGAGAAGAATGGTAGCATAGACTCAACATCATTTCCTTTTTCTTTTAAGTACATAATTTTATGGAAACTGCACCATCAAGTATTTGAACAATGCCAAACTTTATTAACTTAAAAGATATTGATTCTTCTATTCTTATGTGAAAATAAACATTTCATTAATGTGCAGAATGGGTTATATGAATTAATAAGATTCTTTCATTATTTTTTCTTGAATATCTTTTTGGCTAAATACTTAGATAGCACCTTAAAATTTGCACTTTTTGGAAGATAGACATTTTAAGCTTCTCTAGTAACCATCTAGACACTTTTACTTGACTGAAGCGTGTCCTGCGAACACTTGTATTTTTAAGACCAAGTGCATGAGATTCACTTGGCAATGAAATGTAAAGTGAACCAATTACTAATTGGTCTAGCTTGAAAGCTAGTGTTGCACCGGAAGCCTAATTCCGATGATCGAATAAAATTAAAAACTAATATAGTTGTAGGCTCAAAATGTTTTAGCGACCTCAACGAAAAAAATTCCAAAAGGAACTGACCAGGTGGAGATTGTGTTGCGGACAACCAACCAAAGTGAGAAAATTCGACCACTTTGATAAAAAAACGGAACCCCAGTGATGCGAGGTAGATGACTCACCTCATCATGAAGATTTCAAGAAGAAGAAAAAGCTTCTTTGTATTTCTTCGTGAATATACAATCAATGAGAATGAGTACTTATACAATGAGTCCTAAGACTAAATTAGGAAAGACAATATCACATAATCAATTCCTAGGCAATTACAATCAATTACATTCAATACCAAATCATTCTACTCCTATAATCATGCTATCAGTATCAATCAACACTTTATGTTGGACCTTTGTGTAAAATAGTTTGTTCGCCGGCGGAACATCTTCATCACAGTAATTGGACACAACCTTTCTTCCTTCATTTAAATGGAACTATGTAATTTGTTTCATTCAGATGCTTGCTGGAATGAGAAAGAGATGGGTTGAAATGTTAGGAGTTTTTTCCAGATAATTTTTGGAAAAAGGAAGAAGGGAAAAATATACTTGTATTCAAACGATACATTTGGAACAAGTTCAAGTGTCTAATCATTCTGTAAGTTTATAAGGCTATCTTACAAAAGGTGTCATGTTAAAGGGGCTCCCCTATCTATGTATTTGGCCAGTCTTTTTTGTTTAAATTTCAGTGTTTGGGACTTGGTCATTATAGTTGAGGAGCATGTTTTTTCACCACAATGCATTCATGTTTCGCCAAAAAAACCAAACTGGACATTGACATTCTGATGCCCTTGATCTTTGTAGGAGAATAATCTCTACTGCCTTATAAGTTATAACCACATTTTTTGTTGGATACATCAGTGTAGCAGATATGCATCTCAGACCATCTAAGAGCGTCGCAGACCTCATAACCACCTCTTTTTAAGATGATAATTCCTTTTCACCTTTTCCTTTAAAAAACCTTAAGAAGCTTGGCCTCAATTTTTTTGTGGATGTTATGTTGTTGATATCTCTGGAGATATTCCCTAAGGTTTGGTATATTTTTCTGTTTCTTTTTTGCCTTAACCTTTTGTTAATCAACAATTGATGGAGCTTAAGAAGAGTTGCGATAGTGATGATCTTCTATTGTAAAAAGCCTGGATTGCACTCCTCCAAGGTACTCATGAACTTGATAGTTATTTCAGGTATACAGATAGAAGAAATAGTTCCATCCAGCATTTCAATCAGGCATTGTTATTGGATCCATTGCTATGGGCTGCATATGAGGAGTTGTGTATACTAGGTTTGTGCCAGAATAATTTGAGCAAACATTTAAGGTCTATTGCAATATTTTGCTGTGTTTTGATATTTGTTATTGCGACAACATTAATAATCAATTTTGTCCCCAAAACAATAGTAACACAATGTTGGACGCTGAGTTGTGGACCAGATATCTGGTATTTAAATGGACAAAGGTAGACGGTTGGACCAATCAGCCCCCGAGCTTTGAAACCAGAGAGTAGACTTCTCAGTTATAAAAACTACTTTAATAATCAATTTTATCAACTCTGTGACTACCAGGAAACCTTTCTTTAAATTTCGTAAGCTAGAATTTCTTATACAATTTGTGATTGGAGTGCAGAATTTAAGTAGGTTTTACGCCTCAAGTGCTAAAAAAACACTTTTTTTGGTGTTGGAGCTGAATTTATGGATAAGTACATCTGTTTGGATAGAAGTGCTGAAACTCAAAATAAGGTGTTGATAAAACGTTTTGTTCTGTTAAAATGTTTGAGATAACCTTGAAGCTATTAACACTAAAATGAGTTGTAGTTACAGTGTACATCAAGTGCAAAAAAGCACTTTTTAAGTGTTGGAGTTGAATTTATGAATAAGCACATACGTGTTTGGATAGTCGTGCACAAACTGAAAATAAGGTGTTGATAAACACTTGGTTCTGTTAAAATGTTTGAAATATCCTTAAAGCTATCAACACTGGAATGAGTTTGTAGTTAGCAATCTTTTTACAACAACAACAAACCTAGTGTAATTCCACTAGTGGGATCTGGGGAAGGTTAAGGTAAAATGTACACAGTCGTACCCCTACCTTTATGGGATAGGGAAACTGTTTCCGATTGACCCTCGACGATCCTCCACCTTTGTCGGGGGTAAGGCAGTTCCCCATAATATAGCCGCAAGGAAGAAAGACCACCAAAATCATGGGATATGGTGTTAGATGCATGATCCAAATATGTTATAATGATCAAAGAATGTGTGAAAATGTTACCTCAATGTTTCTCCTTGATCCTCAATATTTTTCACCTTTTCCCCACAAGCTATGCTTTCAAAATCTCCAAAAATAGTTGTTTGCACTAGATTTTCTTTTATAACATGATGAATTTGGTATTTTATAATTGTTGCATCTAAAAAATCTGCCCTCATCTATTCACTTTTTTTGAACTGTAACATATCAAATGGACTCATAATTGGAGGAAACCACTTTCTATGAGTCACAAATAATGAATGGATCCAACCATACAGTTAAATTATGATTTGGACCACATATTGCACAAAATGAGGGGTTGGATTCTTTATTTGTTTCTAAAAATGTTGTTTATGCAAAATGTGTTCCAAACCCAGTCGAACCATCTTAGAATCTAACGAAATTTTCCAATCAAGTCCCAAATAGTTATCTTGAGCTAACTTGTAGATTCTCTTATGTGAAATATATGAGAATATTATTGAATTGTGTATCTATATTACACAGAGACCTTAATTATAGACACTACAATACAATCCTTTACTAAATAGGATACTATATACTCCCTCCGTCCCATTTTATGTTAGGTAGTTTGATTCGACATGGAGTTTAAGAAAGAAAGGAAGACTTTTAGAACTTGTGGTCCAAAATGAATGATATAAATTTGCGTGGCTGTAAATCATTTCATTAAGGGTAAAATAGACATTTTATAGTTAAATTGTTACTTAATATAGAAATGTGTCATTCTTTTTTGGGATTGACTAAAAAGGAAAGTAAGTCACATAAATTGGGACAGAGGGAGTACTATTTATATTCCTTTTCTTATTCTAAGTAGGATTGTATATACCTATTCCTATTTTGACATCCTATTCCTATTCTAAGTAGGATTGTATTTGTTTATTCCTATTCTAACACTCCCCTCGAGCTGGTGCATACAAATCATATGCACCTTGCTTGTTACAGATGTAATTAATATGGGGATCGGTGAGGGACTTGGTAAAGATATCTGCAAGTTGATCAATTGACTTCATAAATTTTGTAACAATATCTCTCGAGAGTATCTTTTCTTTGACAAAATGACAATCAATCTCAATACGAGGTCTCTCATGAAATACTGAATTTGATGCAAAAAATTATCAACTCCACTAGCAATCGACATATAAGGCTACTAAACTCCCCCTAAGCAGCAAATCCAAGTGGTTGCTCCATATAGACTACTTCATCGAGATCACAGTGAAGAAAGTATCACTGTAATCCAACCCAAATATTTGAGTATAGCCTTTTGGCAAAAGTGAATCTAAAGCAAAAAAAATATTGCTGGAAAACTCAGATCTCTTGGATTTCGCACAACATTGACAAAAGTTGAAACTACGTAAATAAGATCTGAGTCACCTAAAAGATGCACGATGCTACACAAATCGGTTAAGAGAAAGTAGTCAATGGAAAGATGCACGATGTTATGCAAATTAGATATGAGAAAGTAGAGAGAGAAGACCCAAAATAGTCCCTCATCTTTGGGTTAAGACTCAAAGTCATCCTTGAGTTTTCACATGGAGCACTAATAGTCCCTCATGTTTGCAATATTGGTGCACTTTTGGTCCTCCCCTAAATTTTTGCCTATTTTTTAACATTAATTTTGTTCATAATTTTATGTAAGGAATGACCCATCGTCTTTTTATATATTTAGTAGAAATAATAATTCTATGTGAGAGAATGTGAGAAGAAGAACACCTTGTTCTGTTCAATATAAATATTATTGCAGCTAAACTAAGAACATTTTAACATATGACATTGCAAGAAAAGAAAAAATTGTACTATTGTACGTGAAATCATCGTGATGAACTTCTCGACTTTACCTGCAATACGATTTCTACTAAACAAAATAAGGTGTTTTTCTTCTCACAATCTCCCACATGGAGTTATTATTTCTACTAAATATATAAAATGACGATTAAACATTCCATATATAAATTATGAATAAAATTAATATTAAAAAATAGGCAAAATTTTGAAGGAGGACCAAAAGTGCACCAATATTGCAAACATGAGGAACTACTAATGCTCCACGTGAAAACTCAAGGATGACTTTGAGTCTTAACCCAAAGATGAGGGACTATTTTGGGCCTTTTCTCAGAAAGTAGTCACCGGAAAGATGACACGGTGCTATAAAAATTATATATGAAAAAGGAGTCACCAACAAGATGGCACGATGCTACAGTAATTAAATATGAAAAAGTAGTCACTAGAAAGATGGCACGATGCTACACTAATTAAATATAAAAAAGTAGTCACTAGTAAGATGGCAAGATGCTACACAAAAGAAAGTAGCAACCGGAATGATGACACAGTGCTACAAAAATCAGATATGCAGTTACCAAAAAGATGGCATGGTGCTACATAAATTAAATATGAAAAAGTATTCATCGAAAAGACACCTGTGCTACACAAATTGAATATGAAAAATTAGTCACTGATTCCCAATGTAGTCAAAAAATGGGATAGTAGTCATCGAAATGATGGCACGGTGCTACACAATTCAAAATGAGAGTGGTCATCGGAAAGATGACACGATGCTACACAAACACAGATAGATATGGGGTTGACACAAAACAACCCTAGAAAGTCGCTGGAAATTGATGCATGATGCCCTCTCTAATTTAGTTTTGTTCCCTTGAATATGGGGTTCATGCATATATCATTGGCCCTACTTTTGTGAACATAACCAATGGCCAGACAGGCGACATATATGGGCCATAGGTGCCCGCTGGCAGCGGAAGTTTTTTTTTTTTTTTCTTTTCTACCAAGATCAGAGAAGCTCCGATACTATGTAAAAATATGATACGTGCGCCTAACTTAACCTCTAAAGCTAGCCCATGAGGGGATGTTTGTACAAGTTCATATAAGGAGATCAGTTTCTCATCCCTCTGCTAATTTGAGACTTCTCAACACTCCCACGCAAGCCTAGCCTCAACTGGAGCGTGAACACTTATAAATGGGGGCCCAACATCGGTGAACAACAATTGGGATGAGCTTGACTCTAATACCATGTGAGAAATATATGAGAAGAATATTATTGAATTGTGTATTTGTATTATTACATAGAGACCTTATTTGTAGACACTACAATTGAATCATTTTCCAAGTAGGATACTATATACTATTCCTATTTTTATCTTAAGTAGGATTGTATATCTATTTCTATTCTAACATCCTATTCCTATTCTAAGTAGAATTGTATATACCTATTCCTATTCTAACACTCTACAAATGACCTTCATTAAAGGAAGACAAATCATTTACGAACTACTTGATAGTCAACATTTACAAACTTTTCTCCAAAGTGCTAACAGAAAGGCTGAAAAGTGTGATGGCTAAATTGGTACTCTTTAACAGACGACTTTCATTAAAGGCAAATCATGGATGCTGTCTAAGTAGCCAATGAAGCAATAGACTCCGGTTGAAGCAAAAGAAATTAGGAATTTTGTGTAAGCTAGACATGGAGAAAGCATATGATCATGTTAATTGAGGATATCTTATGGTCCTAATGGAGAGGATGGGTTTTGGACAGAAATGAATTCACTGGATTGAATATTGCATATTAGTACTGAGCTTCTCAGTTCTTATGAATAGCCCAGCAACATGTTTTTTTAGAGCACAAAGGGTCTCAGACAAGGATGGTTAAAACAACAAATCTGAATGGCTGGCTAAAAGGTTCTGATGTTGCTAGAGCTGGTAGATACGGCTTAGAGATAACCCATCATCAATATGCCAATGATACACTCATATTTTGTGATGCTGAAGAAGAGCAACTCAATTTTTTTTATGGTGATTCTAGTGCTATTTGAAGGAACATCTGACTTGCGTATTAACTAGAGGAGGAGTTTCTTGTATCCCATCAATGTAGTGCCAAATATGGAGATGTTGAATGCAATCTTAGGTGGTGAAATTGGTGCCTTACCAACCATGTACTTGGGAATGCCTTTGGGAACTATATCTACGTCCAGTAAAATATGGAATATTGTGATTGAGAAGTGTGAAGAAAATGGCATGGAAGACTCAATATCTATCTCTGGGAGTAGATCGACTCTTACAAATTTTGTCCTTGATGCCCTTCCGACTTATATGATGTATGTGTTTACAATCCCCACAGGAATTATGAATAGATTGGATAAAATCAGGAGGAACTTTCTTTGGCAAGAAAATAAAGAAAGAAATGGATAACACTTGGTAAAGTGGAAACACTAATAGCTAGAAAGCGATATGGGAGATTGAGACAGAGCAAGGCCAAGGGACTTAGAGTGAAATGGTTGTGGAAGTACAATAATGAAAATCAACTTTTGTGGCGGAAAGAGGAGGAAGATAATACTACACCTTGTGGAGATTTGTGTCAGAAAAGGAGAAGCCTATGGCTATCCATCAGAACACTATAGAATGAACTCAAGCCCAACACCAAGATTAAAGTGTATAATGGGAAAAAAGACTGACTTCTAGAAGGATGATTGTCATGAGATAGGCACGGTGGCAACCTGGAATTACTCTTCCCCAGACGTACACTTTTTAGTCCTACATTAACAAAGGACTATAGCAGCCCATTGAACGCCTCAAGAATGGAGCTTCACTTTCAGAAGATAGTTAAATGATTAGAAAATCCAAAGAGTGGCTGGTTTCTTCAGCACAATTGAATCGTTCAGTGATTTGGAGGCAGGACAAGATGTTTTATGGTGGGAAGGAAGTAATGAGATCTTTCAAGGTGAAAATTGTTTATAGTAGGTTGAATCACCCCATTCAGCAAGTAAACATTTGGTCCTGTAATTGCATCTCTGTAAACTGAAATACCACATAAAGTGTCTTGTTTTGTATGGTTGCCAGCTAAGGAAGCAGTACTGGCTCAAGACAACTTGATGAAGAGAGGGGTATCAATATTTTCTAGATGTTTCTTTTGTGGTGATAGTGCAGAGATAGTTAATCATCTATTTCTTCATTGCTAGATCACAAGATAGCTGTGGAGACTGTTCTTAAATCTCAAAGGCATATCATGACTATGTCCGTAGTACTTCAGAGTTGGGAGGAAGCAGGTCTGCAGACTGCAGGCTAAGAACAGAAGTAGACGGAGAATTGTTCCTGCAAGCATTTGGTGGGCAGTATGGAATGAGAGGAACTCTAGGCGTTTTGAGAACATAGTAAATACTGAATTTTATGCGGAGGATCAAATTGAATTGCATTTTGATCTTATGTTTTTTGGTGTAATCAGTTATCAAATTGAATTGTATTTTGATCTTATGTTTTTGGCGTAATCAGTTATACTAAAATGATATTGTCTATATTATTGATGTTTTGATTCAGTATAGAAATAAGATAGTAGAATTTCCAAAAATGGTTTCAGTACAATCCATGAATTGTTTTGCTCATGATGAAATATATACACATTTACCAGTGTCCAAAATTAAATAAAATAGCTATCCTGAGCTACAAGAAGTCTCGGAACATGATTCGGATTTGTAAACTAAAAAGGGTCAGGTCATCACATTGGGATTGTGTAGATACCATTGTTTTATTTTAGAAAGATTTTACTATTTGATACAATCATTATGACATGATGAGAGATTTTGTTTTCAAAGGCAGAAACATTTCCTTCATCTTTAAAAGTAATTGGGAACAAATGTAGTATTTTCAGCTAATTGTTATACTTTCTAAAATTTTCTGCCGAATTTTGGGATATTTCTCTTGTTTGCCTGGATTGTGAACTTAAGTGGTTTTGGAGAACTTAGCTATATAGAAAGCGAACTTGACTGGTGGTATTGTCCTTGAAAACTTTGCATAAATTTCCATTGACTTAAGAATGGCTGAACATACATTTACTTTTTTTCCAAATAATATTTTCAGGTTATTTTCTACTTCATGAAGGTTATATTGATTCCCCACCTAGTGGGATTTCACTGGGTTGTTGTTGTTGTTGTTGTTGAAGGTTATATTGATTGCCATTGTTATTTAGTTATGATTTTATATTTTGCATCCTTATTGTTGGGCGACATACCAGGTGCTGCAGAAGAAGCAGCTGCAGTTTTTGGGGAAGCATCTTTGCTTTGCATTCAGAAACAACACATAGACCAAGGGAACCAATCTCAAAATTTACAAGCATCCACTGATGATCAGAATGTAGCTTCTACGAATATTGTCTCAGGCGACATCAGCCCTAGGCAATCAAAACATACACACAGCAATAATCTTCGAGAAATGTCTGGAAATTATAATGGAGCAGCTGCTATCCAGAATTTAGGTGGGGTTTCTACTAACATGTCATTCTACAACACTCCCTCACCAATGGCATCACAGGTAATTTGATACCGACTTGTAAAACATTTTTTGTTGTAAGCCCTTAGTTGATTTTAAACAATAGCCAATTATCTTCACTTGGGGAGTATCATAGTAGAACTTTAAAATGGTTTCACCTTAATCAGAAGTCTCACTTTTTGATAAAAGAATTTGGGTTGACTTTATAATAGTCATGTCTGAACCTTCTAACTTGACCTCTTTCTGACAAGTCCTTTTATACATAAAGATAACTTAGCATGCCACAAAAACAGGATAACAGCTTATCCTTTTGTTAATCCTAGAGATAGCTGCTATTTACTCAACCAAATCAGGTGATTGTTTTACTTTTTAAGATTATGCTGCTGCTCATGGCTTGCATTCTATCTGCAATCAAAAATCTTGTCTCTAGTTAACCAGTATTTGTTCCAATTTTTCTCTACATTGTTTATATACATCCATAGTTGTTAGTTTGTCTGTTCAATGACATATTATCTTTTGTGTCTTTTCTATATGGGAAATAGGAACTCTTTTCTTCTGGTGCTAACTGAAGAAAAGGTTCATTGGTTGTTACTTGCTATCGCTGTATGCATTGCAGTGAAGATGCTTAATTTTTATTTTTCTTTAAAGATAACATAACTTTTTCTCCTCATCATTCTTTTGATGATTATTTTTTGTGAATACAAAGTTACTTTCTCAAAAAAAAGAATTAGACATTGACAGATTATATATATATTATATATATATATATATCTAAGTTTGCATAAAAGAAAAGTAGTATTAGGTTAGTGATCTTTTTTAAAAGGTAAGTATTATCGATGTAGCACAAAGGTTGTACCCGAGTACACCACCAAAAGTTCAAAAACCAAGAGAAGTCTGTAACCTTCTATTGCAAGCTATCTATGCACTGTCATAAGGTTTCCACATCATTTACAAAATCCATCCTAATCCTACTAGAACAAAATATTACAGTCAGATTTGATCTTTATAGTATTGTTAGCTTGACCCGCAAAAACTCTTCTATTCCTTGCCTTCCATATGCACCATCAAAAACATGCTGTAATTGTATTCCATTTAGTTTTCAAAGGCCCTTTTACACCTTTCCTGTTCCAGCATTTAAATAAGTCTGCGGTTGATCTTTGCATTACCCACTTCACGTCCAAAATACTGTAAAACATCTGCCATATTTGTGCTGCTATAGGGACAATGCAAGAATATATGATTGATTGTCTCTGTTGTTATTACACATATACCATTTGTTACATAACTGGTATCCCCTCCTCTGCAGATAATCCCGAGTGAGACATGTTTTTCTAGATTGTCCATTGTACCAAGCAATACACCATTACCATTCTAATAAAAATGGTGACAATGTATTTGTTAGTTATATCCAGTGTTATCAAAGGCGAAAAGCTCAAAAAAAGCTCTAAGGTCCGTGGGGGCTTTAAGCGCAAAATGCAAATAAAGCGTGGACTTTAGTGAAAAAAGGTGCAAAGGGAGAAAAGAATACAAATATATATGTTTAGTCCAAGACTAATAATTATAAATATGAATGACAAATTTATATGACCAAAGAAATCGATTTTTTTTAATGATAAAGTGGAATATCAATTATTTAGTGTCACTTCTTCATAAGAGGCTCATTGGCAAGGAAATGCTTGCCTTGGAACCTTGATGACAACACTGAAGTGCACATAGAGCGAGGCGAAGCGCTCAACACGTTTTGAGCCTCACTTTAGGGCTTAAGCGCGCTTAAAGCGCACTTTGATAACACTGAGTTAGATCATAGTTTCTTTAGATTGAGGATGAGGGTAGCAATCAGAGAATTTGACTCTAATTTAAAGCAGATTGCAAGTTTTGAAGAGCACAGAAAATGTCTAATTTATGCTCAATCCAATGGAGCCTAAAACAAACGTCTTCTCCGGTTTAGAACATAGTTGGTGACTTTCTAATGATATCTGTATAGTTTCACAGAACTATGTTCTTGTTAATTGAAGTGAAATTAATAGCCTTATTGGCCAAGCCTCTAAAATCAGTTTATTTTGAAAAGTGCTTTTCTAAAAAGTACTTTTGGTGAGAAGCAGTTTGTGTTTGACCATGTTTTTAACAAGTGCTTCTAAGTGTATTTTCTCAAAAGTGCTTTTCAATAAAGCACTTTGGGAGAAAAGCCATCTTTTTAAACTTCTGCTGCTCCCCGAAACACTTATTTTCTCCTCATAGCTTGGTTAAACAACTCACTTTTTTAAGCATACACACTTCTTTAAAAACAAGAAGAAGCACTTTTGGCCTCCCAAAAGCTTGGCTAAACAATCTGTAAAGGTGACAAAATCTTCTATATTAAAGAAGCAACTGACATTCTTATATGCAATTTGGCAACACTAGAATTTCTTTTTGATTTTTCGAAAGTTTGTAAAATACAACTTCTTTGCAGTTGTCAGGAGTGGTTCCACCTCCAGTTTGTAGAAATTTTCAGCAAAATGGAACTAATGCATCTGTGGCTGGTGCTGATAATTCTCCACGAGCAACTGTCAATTCAACCATTCAGGCCCCTCGGAGAAAGTTTGTTGATGAGGGGAAGTTAAGAAAGGTCTGCAGTACTATAATACATAGGTTTCAGTCATCTAGTCTATTTTAATATTAAGTTCTTCTTTCTCTGTATAATTGCTGCAGGATTGTTAGCTTTTTGATAGAAACTTCCCACTGAAGTAATGTCGTACTTCCTCATATTCCATTTTAAGTATGTCTATCAATCAAGATGCCTTTATATGACTCTTCACAAAGCGAAACAGCTTTTATTCTAAGTTTTTCGTGATAAAAAAAGCTTCTTCACAAAATGATTTCATAACAATTTAAGTATTAGTTTTCTCTTTTGTTGTAATTTGGAAGTGAGCGTTTAGTGTGTGAAGCTTTTGGTGCAAGCCTGCTGTCCTTACCAATTTTCACCTGTAGAAGTCGGTTGTTAGAGGCTAGGCTCTTATTTTGTATTATTTAACTTCTTTTGGTTTAAAAACGAGAATTTTTTTAAAAACTTTTAGCTTGTTGAACTATGGTGTTGATTTTGTTCATCTCCTTTATTTTGTGCATTTGTTCAGTTTTAACTTTTAATCACTAAACTCCCTTTACATTTCTGGTGCTTTATATGGTGGATTTTCATTGTCTCCATTCCCCTTTTTTTTGGGTCTGAAGTCCACTATCTCTCATCTTTCCAGATATCTGGGAGGTTATTTTCTGATTCTGGCCCTCGACGAAATTCAAGGCTTGCTGGAGAATCTACTGGAAACACAAATTCAAATGTATCTGGTGCTTCTGGAAATGGAACAATTCATTCTTCCAAATATTATGGTAGTTCGAAGCTGAGCTCAATGACTTTACGTTCCATGACAAGTCGAAAGGCACAATCTTGGGCTACCGAAAACTATGGTGAAGGTGATTGATATTTTTGCCTTTTCTCTTGACAATTCTGTTGTCCATTGTATTTTCAACCTAGGCATTGTCGCCTTTTTAGAGTGGAGACTCATCATAAATATTTATGTGAATCCTAAGGTTTGGTTCACACAATTGCTTGAAGTGAAGTATAATTGCAAAGAAGTGTTGACTTTTGACTGTAGCCAGTCAACATTAATGCGTGAGACAAAACGGAGTGTCGGGCAACTTTTTTCTTTCTTTTCCCCCCCTCTCTATGCAGAAATATAGTACACTTGAACAGCAGTTGGCTGGTCATATGCTGACATCCAAGCCTGCATGGAGCTAAATTTGTATATTAATCTGGTACAGAAAAAGAAGTTGGGTTTGGTTTTTTCTGGAAATTTTCTATCATCTAATAAGGACATATCATCTGAAGATATTTTCTCTAAACTTAAGGGAGGCACAAAACCCCGCCTGTGCTCCAAATGGATTGCTATTGTGTTACATGTGATATTTCTGAAAATCTAACAAATTTTGTTGTTGTTATATTTGAGTTACTTTCATGATCACCTAAATTCGAATAGACTTGTGCATACTTGTTTAATTTAGTGGTTCCGTCACAAACTTTAGGAGATTGTTTTTCTCCCTCTATTTTTTGACTTTTTCCTTACCTCTTTTATTATTCGTCAAAGTTGAAACTTTACTTCGGTAGTTCCCCGGTTCTGGTTTACTACAATTTGGATGTGTGGGATCACAATTGATTGATGCATTAATCATTTGAAAGAATTCAAGAGTACAGATAATTTTATTTTTTTTCATCTGAAAATACTACTATAAATCAAAGGAAAAATGAAGAAAGCTGAACACCAACAGCTATGTTCGTGTGGAATTTCTTGTGTTTGTGCACTGTTGCTACCTAAGAAAAATGACATCTACCTTTGAGATGTGTTTTTATTCGTAACTGTATTAGGTCTGCATCTCAGGGACTCGCAATGACATTTCTAATGATTCTCGGCTAAATATGACTATGTCACACCCTTCTGGAGATGCTAGACCTCTTGAACAAGAAGGGCCCGGAACTTCTGCTTCTGGGGTTAATGTAAGCAGCACATCTATCCTCTCAGGTGCTTCAGAGATATTGGCCCTTTTCAGGATTCTTGGGGAAGGCTATAGACTTTCTTGTTTATATAGATGTCAGGTATTACATTTTGATTCTGAATGGATAAATTTCAGCATTCATTTGATGCTCTGCATTGATTTGGTTGAAATATGATGCTTTGCGGTGGAACAGGATGCACTGGATGTTTATAACAAACTCCCACACAAACATTATCACACTGGATGGGTTCTTTCTCAGGTAAAGGTTCTCTGTCTTGATCACTTTTTCTCCAATCCTTTTGGAGGCAATGTACAGTGTTATCAAAGGCGCGCTTTAAGCGTGCTTAAGCCCGGAAGCGAGGCTCAAAACGTGTTGAGCGCTTCGCCTATGTGCGCTTCAGTGTCGTCATCAAGGTTCTAAGGCAAGCTTTTCCTTGCCAATGAGACTTTTATGAAGAAGTGAAACTAAATAATTGATATTTCACTTAACCATAAATTTTTTTCAATTTCTTTGGTCATATATTTGTCATTCATGTTTATAATTATTAGTCTTGGACTAAACATATATATTTGTATTCTTTTCTCCCTTTGCGCCATTTTTCATTAAAGCCCACGCTTTATTTGCGCTTTGCGCTTAAAGCCCCCATGGACCTTAGAGCTTTTTTGCGCTTTTCGCCTTTGATAACACTGGCAATGTATGTATTTTTATATTTCCTCCGTTCAAAGTCCTGTTCATTTTAAGTTTTCTCTTTATGCTTGTTCAGGGAATCAAAGGAGATATTCATTCTTGTCCTTTACTGTTTATTTGCTCGTCTCTAATTGAAATTGCTTCCAGTATGTAGGTTCCTTCAAACTAGCTGGACATGCTCATTTCTTTTTTGGGGTTAATTTTGTGAATCTAACTTCATCTTTCATGATGTATAAGTTCCATGTTTAGACTAGTTATATAGTTAGTATATGTACTAGAAATATCGATTAGATAGCTTTGTTCCAGTACACAACAAGAATATTAAGTGGCCTGGAATAGATATGCATGTCTTCTTCAGATTTCATTGATTGGCAGGGAGCACTATTTCCCAAGAGTGGTCTTCTAGGATCTTGATTCTGCCGTGTGAGGTGCTGAAGGAATTCCTTTGAATAGGACAATGAACTGTCATTTGGACAGTCTAGATTATTGATCATGATTCAAGGCACTGCGTTGCATGGTCCGGAGAACATCTACTTTTGCTAGTATAATTTTTAGGACCATTTTGTACTGTGTTTGAGGGTCTTTAGCCCTTTCTACTTGTGGTGGGGCACGGGATTCTTTCTTTTTACATATCCCTCGGCTTAACTTGCTCTTGAGTTCTCTTGGTATCTCTCGGCCTAACTTGCTCTTTAGTTCTCTTGGTATCTGTTGCTTATCAAAAAAAATGGTTCTCTTGGTATCTGTCTATTGTGGCATCTCATGAGGAAATTAGAATGCCACATTTATCTGTCTATATAGTATCTGATGTGCGTATT